AAGCAGGTCAGATAGATGAACTGAGGCTTTTTCAGATTAGATGGTTTACATATATTTCTCAAAAATCATAAACAAAAATAATATGTAAAAAGAGAACAGAAGATAATGCAATAAATATAACTGATTGTGTCTTTAATATATAAAGAGATCTGAAAAATCCAGAAAACACTAACAATGCAAAAGAATTGTCAAATGATTTGAAATTCACAGAAAGAAAAGATATGGTCAGTAAGAAAGAAAAAAATGTTTGGGCATTAATATTTTAAAAATCCAATATTAAACAATTACAAGTCACTGGTTTTACCCCCACCAGATTGAAAGGATGGAGGGAGCAGACACATTGACACAGCTGTTAGTAATGAAAAGTAATGAGATCTTTCTGAAAGCAATTTTACAAGTATCAAGAGTCCCCCAAAACACTACATCTGTCAACCTAGGAATTCCACTCTTTTAAATTAATTCTAAGAAAATAATTACAGATGCAAAGATTTATACACCAAATATTCAGTGTAGGATAATTTACAACATAAAAATGGGAAACAATATAAATATTCAATGATAGCAAGGTAGCTAAATATAATATAGGGTAGCCTTGAATGGACTACTATGTAACCCTTAAAAATGAAAAGGAGAAAGTGTTTCTACATATTAAGTATGAAAGAGTGACACAAAATTGCTTTCACAGTATAATGCCACATATATGTGTATCTGTGTTTGTGCAGATGAATGAATACTAGTTAGATAGAAGGTTAAACGTTAACAAAGGACTGAAAGAATAAAGGGAAATATATCAAATTGTCAACAATCATTATTATCTTTATTAGAAGTTTTCTGTATTTAAAAACAACTCATAGTACTTTAAGTTACTTTTATAATAACACAGCAAAAAGAAGTTAAGAGAAAAGTCATAAATGTTTAATATCATAGCAGCCAAACTAGAGAATCTCAATAAAGCAGATTTACTTTAAAACTTCATGTAAAGGCTAGTACAATTATGGAATTTATTATCCCAAGTGGTACAGATTGAAAATAAGATAAATTTAAAATTGTTTTAGGCACATTTCTGATGAAAGACTGCAACATAGCAAAACGTTAGGATTTAATTTACGGTGTAAGCTTTTTCCCCTTGCAGAAAAAAATCCTGGAACAGATGGGCCACTGTTCTGACTCAGCCAAGAGGAATGTCACGTTTCCCTTCTGCATCAAGATACTGACATGTGTCACCTTGTGTGTCATAGAAATACTAATTTCAGTGACTAGCTTAAAAAGAACATCCTAGAGAGTCCCAAAAGCACCACTCTCCTTTTTTTTTAATTTTATTTTATTATGTTATGTTAATCACCATACATTACATCATTAGTTTTTGACGTAGTGTTCCAGGATTCATTGTTTGCGTATAACACCCAGTGCTCCATTCAATACGTGCCATCTGGCCAGACTTATCAAAAAGAAAAGAGAAATGACCCAAATAAATAAAATAATGACTGAAAGAGGAGAGATCACAACCAACACCAAAGAAATACAAACAATTATAAGAACATATTACGAGCAACTATATGCCAGCAAATTAGATAATCTGGAAGAAATGGATGCATTCCTAGAGATGTATAAACTACTAAAACTGAAGCAGGAAGAAATAGAAAACCTGAACAGACCTATAACCACTAAGGAAATTGAAGCAGTCATCAAAAATCTCCCAACAAACAAGAGCCCAGGGCCAGATGGCTTCCCAGGGGAATTCTACCAAACATTTAAAGAAGAATTAATACCTATTCTTCTGAAACTGTTCCAAAAAATAGAAATGGAAGGAAAACTTCCAAACTCGTTTTATGAGGCCAGCATTACCTTGATCCCAAAATCAGACAAAGACCCCATCAAAAAGGAGAATTACAGACCAATATCCCTGATGAACATGATGCAAAAATTCTCACCATCATTCTCCTTCTTAAGAAAAAAACATGCACCTATTTTTTCCATCTTCTCAATTTAATGAGCAATTCTGTTGTTTCTCCTTATTTACTCTGCTCAAGCAGAATCACAGTGTCTAGAGCGTAATGCTCAGGAAGGAGTGTCATTTACAACTTCAGAATGGGCTACTCTGAGCCACACTGTCTGATTTGGAAAAGGCTTTCCCACCTTTAAATTCACTTGTTGTCTGAGTCAGTAGAAAGTCTCAATGGAGCAATTCAGTTCCAACTTTAATAATTACCTAGATACCTGGAACACTTTTATACAAATGCGTCTTCAGCTGCTTACTTGACTAACATAAAAATTCTGTAAAACATACCAGCCATGTGAGTCTACTGATTCTGGGCACCAGAATCTTCCCTGAAATATCAAAGAGGTTCAAATGGTCCAGGTTGGCTTTCAGGTCCAGGTCAGGTTATGATGCAATAAAACACCACATTCAAATTCCACTAATTTACAAGAAAGGTTCATTTCTTGTTCATGTCACACAATGACTAGGTTCAGCTCCAGCTCTATTTCATACCTTCATTCTGACCTTCAGACAAAAGGAGCAGTTCTTCTCCAGAATGTGTCCTTTGCATACCGGTTGGAAGTGCAATGGCAGACTACCTGCTTAAACCTTCTGCTTAAAATCTTCTGCTTACACCGTACATCGTACTTTGCATGTATTTCATTGGCTAAAACAAGTCCAATGGACAAGGCTGATATAAATGGGACGTGAAAGTGTAATCTGATAAGAAGGGCAGGAAGTAACTAAAATCAATACTACAATCTATCATATCAAGTATCTTATAAAATATCAACAGCAATGCATGGATCTTCATGAGCAAAGGACTTGGGTATATTGAGAATTGTTGAACCATTTGGCCAGCCGCATAAGATCCTTCCTCCACTCAATCAGGAAAGAAGTTAGAAAAGGCTGATACAGATGCAGGCAGTTTCTGAAATGAGAATCTCTAAAGATTTGACTATACAATCAAGATAAACATAAACATAAATTCAGAATACTATAACACAGAATCTAATATTGGTTTCCATGTCATTTCCTTCACCCCCACCCACCCATCTACTCAACCCATCCAAGTAGCCTGGTAGCTGACTCTCATTCCAGGATCTACAGATTTTATCTGGTATCTCATATTTTTCCCTGTTCCATAGCTCATTTCTTTCTTTTAGGACTCTTATTTTCTGTTCCTCATGAAGCACTGTCAAAATTCTACTAAGTACAAAGTATATTAAATTACTTTTTATTTTCTTAAATAGAACTCCATTTCTTTCAACACACACTGCAAATTATTGGCTTCCAACTTTACTCATTAAGCTAGAAATGGCTTTCTGTTTTGATTTGTTTTGTTTTTCTGGTTTGCCTTTCCATTCAGCTATTTCTCTAATAGGAGCTCCACTTGCTACAGGCATTGTCTCTGGCTTCAGCTTTCTGTGCCTGTGATGAGGCAAGGCACATCTTAAAGTTACGTAGGTGTGAAAATAAACTTCTTGTTTGAAATCTAAGATAAATATATTCCCCATTGGGCAGAAATATCTAATCCTTATCATTTCCTATGTTACATTGTTATACATGATTTATCCCCATTTCATTTGTCCTCTCAACTCAAGTGATGTTTCTTTCAAACCATTTCCCACCCAGTGTCATGAAGGCTAGATTTACATGATATTAATGAGACATGCTCTAATTTTGTGTATTCCCATGATGGCACATTTCTTGCAAATTGCCAGTTTTCCCCAGCCCTAATCCTTTTTAGAGGGGATCTGCCTCTTTTTGAGTTTTTCTCTTGAATAAAAATATCTTAATTGCTATCTTTATTTTTTATCACTGCTGACAGAGCCAGTAGAAGCCAAGGAGTCACAGCTTTCTAGTGCTAGAAAACTCAGCCTAATCTCTGATGTGAAGATCTAGGAAAATTTGATTTTATATTGCTAGTCTATCTGATTACCATTATTTCTTATGGCAGTTAATAATACTGAATAAAATATCGTAAATCAAAATCCTATACTTGGTCACATATTCAATGTGCCTACACACACACACTTCTATTACTATCAATTAAAAGTTACATTGTTTCATCATTTAGCAATTCAATTTCTCAGATATGCCAAGAAACTTTCCAGTCACCAAAAGAAGTTCTGAGAGTGTTCATCTTCAATACTGAAAATATTTGGTCCTCCCAAAGATTCACATTAATGTGTTAGATTTGTGAGATCTTGCCTAACCCTCTTCTACAAAATAGTGCTTCAATCAGAAAACCTCTTTTCACATGTATGTCTTTATCTACCCACTCCAAAAATGCAGCTTAAGACCAAAACTACGGATGACCATCTCTGGCATCAAGTGTCATTTGATGGTCGTGCTGCACATACCCACTGTCCTGTTCTCGATTTTGAGATAGTTTCCAACACCCCATCTGAATTCCATTCTTTGCCTGGTCCTTCATTTCTAGTTTGAACCATAAGGCATGAATATGAAGTTGAACTTTTCCTCCATCCATGTTCTCCTGCTCTGATTGGATATTGAGAAACACCCCGGGCTGTACAACCTGATCAATTTATTACTTTTACCTGACTTGGATATTTTTCTTTCATCCTTGACCTGCCTGTTCAGATTCTAAACCTGGTTCTGACTCTCCAGTTTGGCTGGAGGGCTTAGATTTTTCATGTCAGTTTCATGACCAAAGCTCTGTCCACTGATCTAACTTAAGTCCTGTTTCTGAGTCCCTGTGACTTCTCCTACCTCAAAGCTACCCACATCAGTGGCCATTCTCCTTGAGTGACTGAGAAGAAAGGAATGAAGGGATCACCACACCACTGACTGGCATTGTCAAAACATGCTTCAGATGTATAGATCTAGGAGTGTTGTGGGGTGTGCGTGTGTGTGTGTGTATCATTATATAATATTCACTTGTTGAATAATTTGGGAGCTTTGATTCAGACTTTAGTTTTAACCTGCATTAAATATTGTTCAGATTTTTTAATGATTTTGACCCATGAAAATAAACTGATTTCTCCATTACTTTTAGATGGTCCAGTAGTCTATGCAGCATACTTAAAGATGGAGCACAGTGACGAGAATATTAAATTCTGGATGGCATGTGAAACCTATAAGAAAATTGCCTCACGGCGGAGCAGAATTTCTAGGGCAAAAAAGCTTTATAAGATTTACATCCAGCCACAGTCCCCTAGAGAGGTAACTACGTGACAGTGACAGCTAATGGAAATCAGTACGTCCCAGGGAGGGTGCTAGTATCTCTCAAGAACATACATGTGCCAGGCACTTCATATCCAGTATCTTCCACTATGCTACAAAGTCAGTATTGTTGACCTTATTTTACAGATAAGAAGCCTGAGAATCAGGCTTCTTAGCTTGTTCAGTGTCACATAGCAGATAAGTGAGAGAGTTAGCTTGTTCAGTGTCACATAGCAGATAAGTGAGAGAGTTAGGATTCAAAGTTACACCTGTCTGACTCCAGAACCTCTTCTCATTAAATTATCTTAATTCCTGGGAAAGTTTCTTTAAAAAAAAAAAAAAAAAAGGAAAAGGAGAAGTCCTTGTAAGAAGAATCGACTTTGCTAGTTGGAACTACAGATACCATACATTGGCGTATTGACAACCCCAGTGGTTTGGGGAAAGTCTGTGCCTTTGCAACATACTCACTGCTCACCTCAGTTCCAAAACAGCAAATCCAGCAAACATTCACACTGATATTACAGCCAATCATTTACAATGGCCTAAAGAAAATAGAGAGTCATGAGTGCATGACACATTGGGACCCCTGCTGGTGGACAGAGAATAAGGAATGAAAATTCTTGTCAAGGGGATAAAGGTAGACCATGACGTATGAGATTCCTATCATGCAGGACAGTCCTATGTTATTGACTTGTTCCTCAACTCTTATCTGGAAAATACTTGGCTTATTGAAATAACCACTTCTCTCCTTTATTTCTCCACTTCTCTTCACTCTCTTCCCATTTCAGGGCATATTCAGTGAAACCAACATTCATGACTACTAAGAAAGATAAACTTTAAAATAGCACCAACTTCCCTTTTCCTTAAAAGAGACCTTCATCTCATAAACCTCCTTGTTTGTAGACTCCACTAACAAACCAGTTGCATCTGCCTAAGTAAGCAATGGTTTCTGAGATTTCCCTGGTCTTGGGCTGTGTGTTTTCTGTTTTGTTTTTTAATCTGGGATATGGAGGTGGATGTTTAGTTATCAAGAAGCAAAGTTTGTCTCTTAAAAGTCTTTTTAGATATCTATGAAATTTCAGACAAAATTACCCTTTTCCAGTTAAAAAAAAAAAGGAGGGGGGAAAATTAAACTTTTCCATTATGGTTTCTATCTTCAATTATACTTACTATGCTCTACATGTAATTTCACTTTTCAGATTAACATTGACAGTTCAACAAGAGAAAATATCACCAGGAATATTCAAGAACCCACTCAAACTTGTTTTGAAGAGGCTCAAAAGATAGTGTATACGCACATGGAAAGGGATTCCTATCCCAGATTTGTAAAGTCAGAAATGTACCAGAAACTTTTGAAGACTATTCAGCCCAACAATTCCTAAATACCACTCAAAAGTTTAAATTGAAGATGGTGTTTTGAAAGTGCTGGCTTTGTTGTTTTAACACACACAGACACACACACACACACACACACAATCAGAAATAGAATAGGAATGAAATAGAAGAAAACAAACTACAAATTAATTTCTTCCAGTTCTCGAAGAGAAACAGATCCCCAAAGGGATGGGCTCTAGAATAGTTATAACGTGAAAAACACAATTTATGGCATGCCTATGTAGCTCAGTTAACATATAAGAAAAAGGGAGGTCTTCATGACACCAATATTAGAAAGTTTTTACTGCAGTAGTCAACTAATGGATGTTTTCTTATTAATGAAATTTTGCTGTCATAATGCACAGATCAGTTCTTTAAAAATAGTAGCTATATAAGTTGTCTCTAGTATGAGTGTATTATATAGATGGAGTGCTCATAATAACTTCAATTAGTAGACAAACTTAGTATGTGAAGTACAATCAATGGTCCAATATAATGAGCAATATAAAAAGATATGTTCTTGAGAGATGTTTTATCTGTAAAATTTTCCTATTATATTCATAATTAAACTTCTATAGCACAAATATCTTCTATATGTGAAAATTTCTGATGATTCTAAGCTATTAAGAATGTATAAAATTCTTCATTTATTCTTATATTGACATGAGGTTAGAAAATTTGGTTCCTATATTTTAGGTATTGTTTCCTCACAATGTGAATTTATCTTGGTCCTGATAATCAATAAATCCAAATATAAACTAAAATCTTATAAATCTATGCTTTTTTTTCAAAGACACAATGAAGTTATTTTTCCAGCGAAAGACAGGTTTTTTTATCTGTCCTGTCATAACAGTTTCTTAGAGTTTGTTAGATTCCAGAAGAAGCAATTCATATCTATTTCACTTGTTTTGTTTAGCACATAGTATAAACATTCCATACAGATGGATAAATATTCTATATTTTTATGAAGAATAAAATACATAAAAATGTTAATATCATTTTGCCAAAGAATTAACTATAGGAAAATATTGTTCAAGATTTTTAGTTTTACTATGAAAAGTGTTTCTCTGGTCTCAGATTTGACTGAAATAGCATTACTATTTTAAAACGCCTATAAACCTATGCTGTATGACATGAAAATGAATATCAACTGTAATTCTTCTCAATCAGCAAAGGGCTATTATAACACAGAATAAATATTTGAGGGTTTATTTCTGAGAAAATATTCAAGAGATATTTTTGTGAAAAAGTGTATCACTAATTAATGTGGATTCTAGCTAAAGTAGAAAGTGTTACCACAGTGGTCCATTTTACGTAGTTCACTAAATTTTATTTTCTCTTAAAAATACCAATTCAAGAACACAGATTGACATCTTAGATATCTGAAGTTGATGATGATCTCTAGCCATAATAAACCAAAAAAAAAAAAAGTTTCCACATGTTTCAAATAGTTTCATCTTGCTCTGACCGGGAATGAGTATATTTATAGACATATAATTAGGGAGTGTTTTACATACATAGTAATAATACACATGGTTTGAGCAGTCTCAGAAGACCTTGAGCCCTTATCATTCAAAATGCACTAAATCAGCCACTGATATAACTAATAAATGGAATTGGAATAATCAGCATTCTTTGCTACTTATCTCTCCCCTTCAGTGGGTGAATATCTACGTTCCAATACAAGATAAGTCTAGAACTTTCAGTTTTGCTTATATGCTGATTTTACGTCCTGAATAGAGTCCCTCTGCTTAGCTATCCCAACACCTTCACCTCATGTTGGGTAAACAAGGTCCCACATGGTAACATGAAACAAAAAACTTTGGACTGAGGTACAAAGCAACCGGATTAGTGTCTGTTCACTCACCTGATGTCATTGTACCTTTAGTACCAGTAGGTCTTATTCTCCTCATCTATCAAATAAAGGGGTGGGACTAGCTGATTTGACTGAGCCACACACAGTGTGTGTTTTATTACATACCATTAATAATGTGTTTATTATTCTTTTTCTCTGTAACAAGCCTGGACCCATTTTGGAATTCCTCCCAAAATCAATGTTTTCATTAGGAAGTGGATAACAAACGATTTTGCATTTAACATTAGTTGAGGGACTTCTGAAATTTTTTACTTTGGAACAGAGAACTTAAACTGCTATCTTTTCAAGAATTCTACATGGGAGTATGTGTTTTATGTTAGTAGCAGTTAAGATAGCTTTCAGATCATTTTAACCTAATAATATACTAAATCTTGTTCATTTTCCTTAGGATATTTATAAAAATAATTCAAAAATTGATGATACTTATCAAATGGCTATGAGGGTATGCCCACATTAACACATTTTTACATGGTATTTGTTTTTTCATAAGTGCTTTGAGATTAATAAGTTAAAAACATATTGTTAGATTTCTATATCAGAACCTGGATATATTTATGATTTTTTCTCTTTTTTTAGATATACATTTTTAAACTCTGGAGATATATGAGATAAGCCTTCATTGTATCTGTCTAAAAATAAAATCTTATCTTCCCCAAAGAAGATAATGACAGAGATTTGTACATTTCAGATTCAAATATCTTGGCAGAGATGAACACTTTCCTATTTATAATTCATCAGTCACACCAGTTTCATCAACTGCAAAAGACTTTTTACCAATTTTGGAAAGAACGATTACAGAAAAGAGATATGTAAAGCTTTCTCCAAAGACATAATAGGGTGTGATTTGAAGAAAATCCTAAGACACCACTGCCCAAAAATATCTTCCCCGTATCTAGGACCTGAAATTCCCATCACTGGTCATAGAAGATGAAAAATGGGATTGAAATTCAAGCTGTAGGTGAAGAATGAAACACTAGTGTTGACACATTACCTGTTGCCTAGCAGAAAGTAAAACTGGGAAAATAGAATGTAGGCCTATAGGGTGGCCTAGGAAAATAGGCTGAGAGAACAAAGATATTTGGGTAACTACAAGTCACCAAATACCAAACAAGACATAGAAATTAGGGACACAGATGGAAAGGGATTTCTTATTAAAATCTTCCTATGTTGTTAATAGAAAACCAAAGGAGGGGGTGCTTCATTTAAAAAAGCAGGTATTCTAAGTGCTAATTATACATTTTTATGGAAAAAAATTAGTAGCATTCCTATAGAAATAAAAGAGCAAGTATTAAATTCTTCAGCAAATAGTATTTATAGAAGAATTCTTTGAACAAAACTTTACATAGCTCCCTATGAGTACAGATATTGTACATGCAGACATGAATTAGGTGAGGCTTCTGTTCTCAAGGATGTGTGAGCTGATAATTAAAATACAAAATAATAATGCAAAATAATAACAGCAAAGGTTGACATGTGCAGAGTGCTGTGGAGTCCCAGCAGAAGCATCTACTTCTACCCAGCAGAATTTAGAAAGAAAATAAGAGGTGAGGTTTAAGATGATTCTTGAAGAATAATTAAGAGATCACTCAGAGGAAAGGGGAAAACAGAGTGGATTGGAACAAGGTAGAAAAAGGGAAATCTCATGGCAAACAAGAAGATTTAAAAGATAGTTTGAGGTTCTAGAATCAGACCAATTTAGGTCAAAATCCTGGCTCTAACACTTAGCAGCTGTGAGAATTTAAGGAACTGTTTAATCTCTCTGAACTTTGTTTTTTCTTCATCTATAAAATGATAATAGCAATAACACGAATAATATCTACCTTTTATATATTCACATGCATATAAAGTCCTGATACTGTGCTTAATAAAATTTAACCATCTTATTCATTACTGTAAAAGTTCAAATGAGAGACAATGATAGTCTAAGCTAGGCAAACAAGGAAAACAGAGGGAGAAATTGTGAACACATCAGATACAGGGAATTATCAGGGTTGATCCAAAGTTTCTAATCTGAGCATCAGGGTAAGTACAGGATGCCATTAATTGAAAAAGAAGCTCAGAAAGATAAGCAGGTTTGGGAAACAGATTGAGTATATGAGGCACCTACATGCCATATGTGGGATTCCTGAGGAGAAATGTAGATCTGGGAATTGTTAGCATGGCTGACTCAATGACCAGAAGAGATCTTATAGTGAAAGTGTGCAGGACAGAGAGCAAAAACCCATAAGACCCAATCAAACCTTAAGGAACAAGATAACATATTAAAACTCTTAAATTCTCATTGGGAGCTCATCACATCATTTATAGTACTGATGATGATTATTTATTGAGTTTTACTATGTAGTGGATATTATGCTAAGTATTTGGATATGTTATTCACTCGTTCAATAAATAGGTATTGAGCATCTACCATATACCAACATGGTTGTCAGAGATAGGGAGTCACCAACAAACCAAGCAGAAAACATGTCTGCCCTCAAGGAGCTTACATTGTCTTTATGTCATAAAATAGTAATTGTAGAAAATCATATTGGCTATAAAGAAAAAGACAACATAATAGAATAGGGAGTAGCAAGGTGGGAGGTAGGGATGCTCTGGAGAAAGTAGTCGAGGGATCCTCCCTACGTAATTCGTATGCTCCTCCCTTTTGACAACCCTAATCAAGGGTGAGGAATCTGAGGTTTTGAGAAGTTAAATAACTCTTTCAGTATCTCTCACTAAAACCAAGATTTTTCTAACTCTAATACCTTAATCATCTAATACCTTAATCATTACAATCAGTATAATCACATTATGTAACTCAATACTATTAATCATTATAAGTACAACCTCCCACAACCAAGCTGAATAGAAAGTAAATGTGCAATGATCTAACATAAAAAATATGCATTCAAATTTATAATGCCATTACTATACAGACCATTTTAATATGAAAGATCACTATTAAAATTATCTCTAGTTACTGATAATGAACTCATGAAAATTGGTTTAAAATGCCATCGATGCTTGAGTCTCTGCTAAAAAGAAGAATTATTGGGGAACTGATGTAATGATGCCCAGATTCCAGTAATAGGATGAAACATCTTCTGTTTAGCTGGCAAATATGTTGCTTAAACCCAATTATTTATGAAT